TCCAGCCTGGGCAACAGAGTGAGACTTCATCTCGAAAAAACAAAACAGGCCGGGTGCAGTGGCTCACGCCTGTAATCCCAGCACTTTGGGAGGCCGAGGCGGGTGGATCAGGAGGTCAAGAGATCGAGACCATCCTGGTCAACATGGTGAAACCCCGTCTCTACTAAAAATACAAAAAAATTAGCTGGGCATGGTGGCACGTGCCTGTAATCCCAGCTACTCAGGAGGCTGAGGCAGGAGAATTGCCTGAGCCCAGGAGGCGGAGGTTGCAGTGAGCCGAGACCGCGCCATTGCACTCCAGCCTGGGTAACAAGAGCGAAACTCCGTCTCAAAATAAATAAATAAATAAATAAATAAATAAAAGAAAAAACAAAACAAAACAAAAAACCCCCAAGAATCCATAATGCTATTCCCGAAAGAAAAAAAGAAGGGGAAAAGAATGGAGTGAGAAAGATAGAGACAGGAAAAATTTATTCTATTAAAAAAATACTTTTTCTATAAAAAAAAGTTAACAAATATAGAAGGAACGGCAGAATTAGAAAATTACCAACTTGCAGCCCTCAGTGTTGCAATTCAGGCAGGGATCATCCATGGATGTGGTGTGGAAGGTTATCAGGAGCACATAATTATAACAGACTCAGAGAATCACTTTATAGATTACCTATTAGTTGTAAGAAGGAAAAATTTACCTTTATGATACAGAGATCAGGTTGCCATGACCTTAACTAATCATCAAATTTAGCATTCATGGATCGTAAGACCCTGACATCATATCCTCCTGACATCATATCCTCCTGACATGATGCAGTAAGTACACATATTGCCAAAAACTTGAATCTAACCCAAATCTAATCATTGATAAACCAGTCAAACACATTTAAATAGGTGGAGGAACTCTATAAGATGGAGTCACACTCTACTGCCCAGGCTGGAGTGCCATGGCACAATTTTGGCTCACTGCAACCTCCAGCTCCTGTGTTCAAGCAATTCTTCTGCCTCAGCCTCCTGAGTAACTAGGAGTATACGCACGTGCCACGTCACCCAGCTAAATTTTTGTATTTTTAGTAGAGATGAGTTTCATTATGTTGGCCAGGGTGGTCTTGAACTCCTGACCTCAAGTGATCCATCCACCTCAGCCTCCCAAAATGCTGGGATTATAGGTGTGAGCCACCATGCCTGGCCAAGGGGCTTTATTTAAATGAGTTGATTAAAGCAATATAATAAAATGCGTGATGTACACCTTGACTGGCTCTGATTTTAAAAACCAGAAACTATATAAGGTATTTTGGGGCAATTAGAATTTTTTTTTTCTTTTTTGAGACAGGGTCTCACTCTGTCACCCAGGCTGGGGTGCAGTGGTGTGATCACGGTTCACTGCAGCCTTGACATCCCCAGTAGCTGGGACTACAGGTGCATGCCACCACACCCTGCTAATTTCTGTGTTTTTTGCAGAGATGGGGTTTCACCATGTTGCCCAGGCTTGCTTTGAACTCCTGGGTTCAAGCGATCTATCCGCCTTGGCCTCCCAAAATGCTGGGGTTATAGGCGTAACCCACTGCACCCAGCAGAAAATTTTTAATAACTATTACATTGGGTGATACTGACTTATTAGGTATAATAATGGTATTATGGTCATGAAGTAGAATGTCCTTATTAGGAGATACATGCTGAGGAATTTAGGGATCAAACGTCAACATGTCGGTAACTTAATTTGGCCAAAAAAAAGTGTGTGTTTGTGTAAAAGCACAATTGGCAAATTGTGAATTGGTATATCTAGGTTAAGGGTTGTACTTTAAGCTTTTATGTAAGCTTGAAAATTTTTTAAAATATTGTATTTTAAAAGAAGGGGGAAGAATACTTCATTCACGGGGCAATAGATGTAAAGTTACATTCATAGTGCCATACTCCAATAAATAACCAGACTTATTAAGTTACAGATTTGCTGCTCCTACTTAGAAGTGTGAAAAGCTCGTAATTTTCCTTCCCAAGTGTTGCTGAATTTTGAAAGGTGAGGATGTCAACCAGGGCCAAGCTAAAAAGGCCCAGATGTGGTTGAGGAGTTAGAATCTAAGCCTGGTGGGCAGTCTGGATAGATCCCCCACCCTCAGAAACCACACCACTAGGCCTGCCTATCTTCTGTGCTGTGATTCTGCCTGGGAGAAGATGGCTGTTCAGGCCTCATTTTTCCTGCCTCCTCATGAACCCAGAATCTCTGTACCCTGGCAGGAAAGAAACTCCTGTCATGGCTCACTGTGAATGCTGACAAACAGAGGCCACTCCTGGGCCTTAGAAATGTCAAGGATGGGCAGAAAAAACTGGAGAGAGGCCAGGTGCCGTGGCTCACACCTGTAATCCCAGCACTTGGAAGTCCGAGGCAGGAGGATCGCTTGAGTTCAGGAGTTTGAGACCACCCTAGACAACATAATGAGACCTCGTTTCTACAGAGAATGAAAAAAAAAAAAAAAAAGCTGGGCATGGTAACATGTGCCTATAGTCCCAGCTGCTCATCGGGCTGAGGTAGGAGAATCGCTTGAGCTTGGGAGGTCAGGCTGCAGTGAGCCAAGATCACGCCACTGCACTCCAGCCTGGGCAACAGAGCAAGACCCTGTCTCAAAAGAAAAAAAAGGAAAGGAACTGGAGAGGCTGTGCAGGGTAGGGGGCGGACCATGCAAGGTGTTCGGCATTACCTGGGCTTGTATCTGAATCACCCTCTGCCACTTACTAGCTGTACAGCCTGAGGCACATTCCTGGGCAGATGACGATGATCACAACAATAACAAACACTACAATAGTAATAATAATGGCTAACATTTATTGAGCAGTTGCTACCGTGCTAGACACTTTATGCATGTTAATCTCTTTCAATCTCACAGATGAAGTAGATACTATGATATCCCTAATTTACAGACCAACCATACCGGGTCCTCTTCAACCTCTGCAATTTGGTATCTGCCATCCCCTCTGCCTGGACCTCGAAGGCAAGTCCCATGCATCTGCCAGGCCCCTCGGCTGGAATTCATTCCCTCTCCTCTGCACCTCTGGAGAATTTTATTCTAACCCCTTACCACAGCCAACTTTACTTAAGTAAATGGGTGCCTGGCTCCCCTGCTGGGGCTGGGAGTGACCCTTTCTGCATCCACAGAAGCAGGGAGAATAGGGGAAGAGGAAGAAATTTCTTTCCTGTTTAGTCAGATCCATTTTCCCCAGCTGGATTTTTTAAACTTTCTAATTTTGAAATGCTCTCGAATTTTCAATCTGGAATCTAAAGGCACGTGACAAGGCCCAGGTGATTACTTGCAAGTAAATGCAGTGGAAACTGCATAAGGGAATGGACAGCATGTGGCTGGGTAAATTTCATGAAAGACAAAGCTCAGAGTGAGTAGCGTGTCTTCCAGTAAGCGGGAGACTTCCCTACCTTACTCAGTCCACCGGGGAAAGGACTCTTTGCCTTGAAACCCGCAGGACTACTACCCTTCACCTTCCTTTCTTGACCACCCCACATCAAAGAGCTGTATCTATAATTCTGTCTTGCTCAATCCGTCTAAGAAGCCCACAGGCTGCTCCATTACCATCACAACCCACAGGAAGAGAGAAAAAGTGCTTCCTAGACCCACCTGACACATAGGGACCCCAGAATGAACTGCGCAAAAGGCAGGAGAGGGAAGGAGAGGAGAGGTAGGCTGGAAGAAGGACGCCGTGGGATCTGGCACGGCAAGGTATTCTTTCAGCTGGTGTAGACCCCTAACAATCGCCACCATCCCCAAACTCTTCCAGAATCTTCCTTTGCCTTCTCAGCTCATTCTTACGCTTCACCTTGTGCTTTTCCTCAGGCACAAGCACCCCATTTCAACAGCTCTCTTCTTACCGTCTTCCTGCTCCTCCCAACAGTAATTTATAAACACTGCTTTCAAATCCATCTCATTTCATCCTCACAGTAGCACAGGAGGGCTGCCTTACAGACCGGCATTCGGAAGGGTTGGGGGGAACTGGTCCTGCCAGACAATTTGCGAAGGTCAGGGCATCAAAACTTTTGTTTCTTTCTTGCCCCCAACTCCAAGCTAAACCTCTGCCTCCCCAAGTGCAGGGAAAAAAGCAAGGTCTTTGAAGCAAGGAGTCCTGAGTGGTTTGGGGCAAGTCTCTTCGCTTTTCTGAACCTCACATTCCTCACCTGTCAACGGCTATGGTGACGCCTCTGCTTTCCAGGGCGTGAGAGGTGAATGAGATCACGGTGTGCCGCACGGGCTAGGGGCTGGGCCCTTTATTTCCAGGCACAGTTAAGGGAGGTGTTTTGTGCATCACAGGCTCCTGCCCACGCCGCCACAGCGCGGCCGGCCCAGGGCTCTCCAGAGCGGGGCGAGGTCCCTGTCATCTGTCTCCGCCCCTCCTTCCCCAATCCCACCCTGGCGGGCCTCATCGGCTTTTTCCGCACCCACTCCCCAGCCCTAGAGCCCCCTCTCCGCCCTGGCAAATGCCCCACCCCCACCTTGAGACCCCCGCCCCTCCTTGCCCCACCCACAGTCCCGACCCTCATTATACGGGCTTTTCCATCCATCACCTTGCGCCCTGACTCCTCCCACCAGCCCCGCCCCTCTCAGAGCTCTGCCCTCTCTGGCTCACCTAGCTCCGAAACGCGCCTCCCCTCCTCCGCAGCCACAGGCGCTGCCATCCCCATTTCACAGATGAGAATGGCGAGGCTGGGATAGATTAGCCTTATGGTAAGACAGGTGCTCAATGGGCCCACGTCCCCTCGCTGGCAGTCCCGGCGCCCCCGCCCGCCCCCGTCCGCACCGCACCCACCTCCTGCCCTCGCTCTGCAACCTCCCCTCCGCGGGCGGCCAGCGCAGCTTTGCAAAAGGGGCGGAGGGGCGGAGCCCAGCCCAGGGGCGTGGCGGGCCGGGGTCCGCGCGCTGCCCTCCGGGACTGGTAGTTCTCTCTGGGCTCCTCGCGGCTCGGTACGCTGAGAGCGAACTCCATCTCCCAGGAAGCATTGCGGCGAGTCGCTTGGCGTCCCGCCCCGTTCTCGCCCGTGTCCGGCCGGCTGGCCTTAAAGGGGACGCGGTCCGAGCGGCAGCTCGCAGGGTGGCCCCCGCTCCGGCTCCACCCCCTTTCCCACACCTCTCCCCTCCCCCACTTCGTCCCGCATCCCCGGGGCCGCGCCGCAGAGTCGGGCTCCCTGGATACATACAGGCTTGTACCGGGCTGGGTAGGAAGACTGGATTTTGCAGTGGAAGCAGCATCTCTTCCTTCTGGGACCTGGCGGAGGGCGTCTCCACCCTGGGGGGAGCAGAGGACCCGCCCTGACCTAGCCGGGCTCAGCCTCGTCCAGCGCGGCCTGAGCGCCCCGCCCAGCAGCCAGCTCGGAGGCAGGGCCCACTGGGATCTGGGAGGTAAGGGGGTTGGGGGCGTGTGTCTGGCTTTGGGGTACAGTGTCTACACCCTGGCGATTCGAGAACCCTGGACTTGCGAGCCCAGGGCTGGGAGTCGGGAGATGTGGGTGCATCCTGGACCTCGCTGTGTGACCTTGGGCAAGTAGCTACTCCTCTCTGGGCATTAACCTCCTCTTTCATCAAGTGCATGTCGAAGTGATCCTGCTCCCTCGCCCTTCAGGTAAGAGGACATTCGCACCCACTACCCAGTGCATTCGCTCGCTGGCCTTTCGTAGGGCCCTCCAGCTCAAGCGTGGGCTGGGCGCGGGTGCACTGGAGGGAGGGAGGTGGCCGAGCTGCGGCACAAACTGGGAGGCCCTAGGCCACCATTGCTTGGAATGGGCTTTTCCTATGCTCAGCATCCTGGGCCCTGGGATACCCGCCCTCAACCCCCCTTACAGCCCTTGCAAACTAGAGACCCTGATGTGTCAGTTTGGTGCCCTTCCTTCCAGAAAGCCTGGGGTGGAGTCGGCCCTTACAGGTTTGTGAGGGGTGGCCCCGTAGGGATAGGTGTGTGCGATGGGTTCTTGAGGAGGGAATGGCTGCTCCTGCTTTCTTCCCTTCTCTCTCCTCATACCCATTTAAGGAAGAGCAGTTGCTTTTTACCTGTGAAACCCTTTTTTCTTTTTCTTTCCAGGAGACAGTTTGGTGGCCCAGACATGGGGCTTCCAGAGTAGGGTGAAGGACTTCTTCCCAGGGTTGCCTTGGGTAGAAGTTCAGTTAAAAAATGCCTGGAGAGATGCTTCCATTCAGACACCTGGGGGCCAGAGATGGAGGGCCCCACCTAGTGTTGGGAGGGGCAGCCTGGCACCCCAGGTAGCTCTGCCACCCAGGGGAGTCAAAGGAGAGAGGCGTGTTGGGAGGGGCAGCCTGGCACCCCAGGTAGCTCTGCCACCCAGGGGAGTCAAAGGAGAGAGGCTGGCTGTGAGGGTCAGAGAGGGGAGGAAATGCCTCCTCAGCTCTTGGGTGCTGAGCAGGGGCTGAGATGCACTGCTCTGCTGTAGGGCAGGGAGAGGCTGAGTAACACGTGAAGCCTTCTCCCCAGGTCCTAGGAGATTCCGTGAGCTTTTGACCTGAAGGCTAACCAGGAACAATTTTTTGTTTTGTTTTTTTGTTTGTTTGTTTTGTGTTTTTTCATTTGCTTTGATTGTTTGAACGATTTTTAGAATGGCTAAAGCCTCAGTCCAGTCCAGTGACCTCTGTACGGGCTTTCTTGGCTGCTGTTTAAGATTTTCAGTGTTTCTGATATACAAGACCAGGCCTGGGCAAAGGAGCGGGCAGTGACTAGAGCAAAGGTTGGGCCAGTCTCTGGAAGGTACTTCTGTGGCCACATCCGTGGGTTTCTCTCATCTTGCTGTCACATGTCTCTCATGAGTCGCTTGACGCACCTTCACAGACACCTCGGTCCTTGGTTCTGTCCTGGGAACTGGGCTCAGAGACAGCAGTTGGACGTCTGCCAAGGGAGGTCCCAGCCTGTGGGAGAGAGAGACATGGACTCCAGTTACACTGTAAAGAGATGGGAATAGCTAAAAGGGCCTTGGAGCCCAGAACTCTAGACACTCAAATTGTGCAGGGAAAAGGAAAGGCTTCCCAGAGGAGACAGCATGTGAGCTGGGCATTGAAGGATGAGTCAGAATTTTTCAGGAGAGAAGAGGGAGAGGCCGTTTTTCAGTAGAGAGGCCATTGTGCTAAGCAGCAATCAGGAAGAAGCCCCCCGCCCCACGTCTGTAAGAGTCCCCATAGAACAATGTCGCTGGGGTTCATCTCTATCCCTGCCCCCTATCAGCTGAGATCACAGAAAGGGTCTGCATGTTGGACTTGGGAGTTTGGACCTTATTCTGGGTCCAAGGGGCAGGGGAGTGTTGAGAGTCCTGAGCGGGGCCTGGGCAGAATGGTGCTTGCCATCGAATCAGCTCCATCTGACGATGCTGCAGGGTGGGTTAGAGAGACCGAGGAGGAATGATGAAGCCTGAGTGGGGGCCCAGGGCGTGGCAGTGGGTTGAGCACTGGAGTCGTGTACACACACACACACACACACACACACACGCACACACTGGGTGCTTTGGGGTGATGGAGATAAGTCAGGTTCCACTCTGCAGGAACAGAGATCAGTCAACACTCAGCAGAAACGCTGAGGGTCATCCAAGGGGAACAGGTGAAGGAATCTGGGCCTTTTTAAGGGATCGGGACTTTCTTGAGTGCTCACTATGTGCCTTGGAGTGTGCTGGGTGTTACTGGGACACTCAGGCTGTCGTGCCAGTAGGGCTGGGGGTATGAGCCAAGGGCTTGGGAGGAGTAGCAGTGTTGGCTGGGAGAGGATAAGGGGTGGGCAGGTAGTCACCTTGTATTAGGGTGTTCCAAGAATCACAGAGGTGAAAGAACACCCCAATAGAAGCCTCCGTGGTGGCTGGGCTAGACTCAAAGCCTGAACTCTGTTCTCCTCCAAGGTACATGCCTCTGTTGGAGCATGGATTGAGGGAGGGAACTGGGAGATGGGTTAGGAGATGTACTAGTCCAGGCAAGAAGTCAGGGGGACTGATCCTGGGTGGGGCTGGGAACACCAAGGTGGCAGCGAGGGCTGACGGAGGAGGTGCCTTGGAGAATCAGTGGCATCAGCAGTGCGTGTCTCCTTGTCTCCTTCCCCTGACAGTGTCTGTGTCTTCCATCAGTGCCAGATGGCCCCAAAACAGATTCACAACTGCCTGGCCCTCATCTTTTTTATACCTTGTCTCAACCCTGTGAATGGCAGACTTGAAATAGCCCCCATTTTCCAGATGAGAAGGCTGAGGAGCCACGCAGGGACTCACCCAAGGTCACCTGATGACTTTGAAGCAGAAAACCTGTGTCTTATGCTTTTAATGCAGGCTGTTCTGGGGAGGACACGGGCTGCTGTTTGCTGGTGCGTTGGCACAAGGCAGCTGTCTCTTGAGTCAGAGCCAGCATTGACGGGCCATTTCCTGACCCGAGGCCTAGCAGGCTAATCCAGCCCTCCTAAGGGAGGCAGAATGCAGGTTCTACTCCTGCCTGCCAAGGCCCTGTTCCTCTGCCTCTCTGAGCCTCACTTTCCCCATTCCTGGCAGTGGGATACCTGCCCTTGTCCTGCCTTTCCTGGCCTGATGGGGCCAGGTAAGGGGCAAGCCTCTAAATCCCTTTTGTGTGACTGCATCCAAGATATTGAGCGGGTTTGCTGGTGACCATGGTGACAGCTGTCCTCAGACTGCCTGCGTGGGAGTTGGGGCAGGTGGGCAGGGCCTGCTTGCTGTGGCTAGGCCACAGACTGAGCAGAGGCTGCCCGGCTGGCCTTGGAGATCAGAGCTCTCATGGAGCAGCTCTATTTGAGCTGTCAGCTGCCAGGCTCATGTGGTATTAGAACAACATGAAATTGCCAATATTTGACCATTCAGTTTCATGCGGTTCAGTCTAATATCATTTGTCCCATTTTACAGAAAAGAGGCTCATGGGTGTGGTTTGCTGAGGGTAACACAATGTTTCAGGGCTAGAATGCAGGATTCCTCATTCCGAGTCTGGGACTCTTTCTACTACCAGAGTCTTCCCTGTCCCCAGAACTCCATTTGTGCCTGCCCCATGCCCTCTTCCTTCACAAAGGATGCCAATACCTCATGGATTAGGGTTTCTCCTTGGCTGCCTGAGTACCAGGATTTGTTGGCATCCTGGGTTGAAAGCATATGAAATCCACTAGCCATCCCAGGGGTCTGGGAGGATGGACTGTTTGTGTGAGAAAGGCCGGCCACAGCAGCCACCTTGTCACATGCACTGCCTAGGAAAGGGGACCAGGGCTGAAGGGAGAGTTTAAAAATTTATTATTATTATTATTATTATTGACAGGAACTCACTTTGTCCCTGAGGCTGGAGTGCAGTGGCATAATCTCAGCTCACTGCAACCTCTGCCACCCAAGCTCAAGGGATTCTTTTGTCTCAGCCCCAAGTAGCTGGGACTACAGGTGTGAGGCACTGCACCTGGCTAATTGTTGTTGTTGTTGTTGTTGTTGTTGTGGGAGTTCGCTGTGTTGCCTAGGCTGCTCTCAAACTCCTGAGCTCAAGCCATGTGCCCACCTTGGCCTCCCAGAGTGCTAAGATTACAGGCATGAGCTGCTGTGCCCCGCTGGGAGACCAGTTTTTTTTTTTTTTGTTTTTTGTTTTTTTGAGACAGAGTCTCATTCAGTCACCAGGCACCAGGCTGGAGTGCAGTGGCGTGACCTCTGCTCACTGCAACCTTCGCCTCCCAGGTTCAGGCAATTCTCCTGCCTCAGCCTCCCGAGTAGCTGGGACTACAGGCATGCGCCACCATGCCCAGCTAATTTTTTTTTGTATTTTTAGTAGAGATGGGTTCCACCATGCTGGCCAGGATGGTCTCGATCTCTTGACCTCGTGATCCACCCGCCTCGGCCTCCCAAAGTGCTGAGATTACAGGCGTGAGCCACTGCACCCGGTTGGGAGACCAGTTTTTAAAGACACTTTTATAGGACTTTTGAGATTATGACTTGCAGTGGCGCCTTGACAAACATTTCTGCCTCCGCCATCAGACTGGAAGCTCTTTAAAGGCAAGGACTTTGCTTCTAAAGCAACAGGAGTTGACATTTTCTGAGAACTTCCTTGTGCCCAGCTCAGTGAGCCTAAGGAACCTGTATGGGAACCAGAATGTATCCCAGATGAGCCACATTCAAAGAGTCAAAAAAAAAAAAAAAAAATAGCAGAATCACATAATTTTCCTCATTTCCTCATTCAGGAAGCTTAAGGTGGGCCCTGAACTTGTTCTTTTTCTTTCTTAATTTTGTTTTTTCGAGACAGGGCCTCACTCTGTCACTTAGGCTGGAGTGCAGTGGCACGATCTTCCCTTACTTCAGCCTTGACCTCCTGGGCTCTCCTGGGTGCGCCACCATCCCTGGCTGGTCTTGAACTCCTAGGCTAAAGTGATCTGCCTGCCTTGGCCTCCCAAAGTGCTGGCACTCCAGGCGTGAGCTACTGTGCCCGGCTGCACCTGAACTTGCAGCAGGTGCCCAGGTGCTTCTGAGGCATCCAGGCTAGAATTTGGGAACCCTGATCTTTGCCATGGCTACAACCTCTAACCAGCAGTGAACTGTTGAGAGGCACACAGTGTTGGCATGAGAGATGCTAGCCACAGACAAATAAGCCCTGTTCCTTTCCTGGTGGAGCTTACAGCTGGTGAGAGAGACAGGTGTTTAAACAAATGGGCCCTTTGCATCATGACATGTGCAGCAGTGGAGGTGAGGTCACAGCTGGGAACTGGAACAGAGCAGGGAGCTCACTGGGCCTAGTACATGGTTGGGTTCCAGAATATTTGTGGTTCTGAATAAAACTTTCTGGCTTATTATCCAGGAGATTTAAGGCTTGTCCACACTCTAGCTCCACTTCTTAGGCATAAGAGTAGTTTTTACTGAGCCAGTAAGTTTAGCTAAACACCTGCTATATGCTGAGCCTTCTTTTAGGTCCTACGTAGATTGGGGTTATACACTGAAGCTAAGAAATGGTTCTGCTCTCCAGGAGAGGCATTAAGTGCTAGGTGTTAAGAAAGCAAGCATGCCCATGTGAACCTGCATGGGCTCAAGGTGGGTTGGTGTGGGACGGTCTTCAGGAAACAGGCCAGATGGAGGAGAGGGGCAGAAGGAGGGCTATTACGGCTCACAGGAGTAAGGCTGAGAGAATCACACTGCACCCTGTATTTGCTCATCCAGCAAATGCCTACTGCATGCTCGACACTGTGCTAGGTGCTGGGGATCCTGTGGCGAGCAAAACCTGAAGCTTCCCTCAGGAGCCATCTACAGGATTAGAGGGGAGGCTGACCCCAATCAAGAAATCATGACAAGTGCTACCAAGGAGAAGGACAGGATGTTCTAATTTCTAATTAGAGAGATTGACCCAGGCAGGGAGGTCGGGTGAGGCTTCCTTGATGCAGTGACTTTCAGCTGCGGTCTGCGGGCGAGGGAGGAGCATACACAGGCGCAGGGGCAGAGGGGCACACCGTCAGCCACGGGCAACAGGCTGGTGTGGGCCGAAGCAGGCAGAGCCCTAGGTGTGCAGGGCCGGAGCGCAGAGACAAGATTTCTGCTTTGGTGGAGGTGACTGGGACCCATACGCAGCACCAAGTGATCCTAGCTAGAGTGGAAGAGACCACAGGTGATTGTAGGAATCAAGGGTGGAGGTGGATTCCAGCATGGAGGACCAGGGGTTCTCACTGAGGATAGGTGCTGTAGATTGGCTTCGAAGGAAGATGCTCTTGCCTGGTTGTGTGAGAGGGTGGTGGCGGCGGGGCTGGGGGCTCAGGAGATAAGGACGTGTCAGGCAAAAGGCACAGCACACACATGAACTGGAGCCTAGCGGAGGGGTACGGTACTGGGGAAGGAGCAGGGAGTTGAGTGGAGGTAGAAAGAAAGAGCGCAGGGATTCTGGGATCTCTGCCAGTTCTCCCTGGGGCCTCTTTCTCCACAGGGGTGCGATTTTTTGTGTGTGCCCCATCTCATCTCCCCCATGCGCATGACTTGGCTGAGACTCTGGACAGCAGCTTCTAGATCCCGCTTCTACTTGCCCGGAGAGTGGACAGGGTCACCAGGGAGCCCTGGGGAGAGAGGGGCAAAGGGGTAAGGATGGGGAGGAGGCTCATGTAGCCTTTGTGAGATTAAAGGGCGCTCAGCAACAGTAGCTACAACTGCCTGGGGGTAAATTTATGTGGAGACAGGGTCTCCTATGTTGTCCAGGTTGAAGTGCAGTGGCATGATCTCCACTCACTGCAGCTTCAAACTCCCAGGCCCAAGCCAGCCTCCCACTTCAGCCTCCAGAGTAGCTGGGATTACAGGTGTGTGCCACCACGCCTGGGTAATGTTTTTATTTTTTGTTGAGCGGGGACTCACTCTTGCTCAGGCTGGTATCGAACTCTTGGGCTCAAGGGATCCTGCTGCCTGGGTCTCCCCAGGTGCTGACTAGATGTAAACCACCGCGCAGGCCCCTGGCGTTTATTATGTGCCAAGTGTCGTGCTTTAACTCATGAGGATAGCTCGCGGTGAGGGGATGGCCTTGCCCCGTTTCACAGATGTTCTCATTTTTAATTAGAGAGATTGACCCAGGCAGGGAGGTCAGGCGAGGATTCCTTGGTGAAGTGACTTTCCGTTGAGGTCTGCAGGAGAGGGACGCGCATTCCCAGGGGCAGAGGGCATACCGTGAACCGAGGGCGGCAGGCTGAGAAAATTGAGGCCCAGAAAGTTTGAGTTGCTTGCCCTAAGTCTCAGCACGCGGGGCCTGCATCGGGAACTCTTGAGGCCCGCGGTTGCCCGGCCGGGCCGAGTTCACGTGACGCCGCTCCTTGTCCTCCGCAGCGCGGGCGCCATGGACAAGATCCTGGAGGCGGTGGTGACGTCGTCGTACCCGGTCAGCGTGAAGCAGGGGCTGGTGAGGCGCGTGCTGGAGGCGGCGCGGCAGCCGCTGGAGCGTGAGCAGTGCCTGGCGCTACTGGCGCTGGGCGCGCGCCTCTACGTGGGCGGCGCGGAGGAGCTGCCGCGCCGCGTGGGCTGCCAGCTGCTGCACGTGGCCGGCCGCCACCACCCCGACGTCTTCGCCGAGTTCTTCAGCGCGCGCCGCGTGCTGCGCCTGCTGCAGGGTGGCGCCGGGCCCCCGGGCCCCCGCGCGCTCGCCTGCGTGCAGCTGGGCCTGCAGCTGCTGCCCGAAGGGCCCGCGGCCGACGAGGTGTTTGCGCTGCTGCGGCGTGAGGTGCTGCGCACCGTGTGCGAGCGCCCGGGGCCCGCGGCCTGCGCGCAGGTGGCACGGCTGTTGGCGCGCCACCCGCGCTGTGTGCCCGACGGCCCGCACCGCCTGCTTTTCTGCCAGCAGCTGGTGCGTTGCCTCGGCCGCTTCCGCTGCCCGGCCGAAGGCGAGGAGGGCGCCGTGGAGTTCCTGGAGCAGGCCCAGCAGGTGAGCGGGCTCCTGGCTCAGCTGTGGCGAGCGCAGCCCGCTGCTATCCTGCCCTGCCTCAAAGAGCTGTTCGCAGTCATCTCCTGCACAGGTGCGTGTGCGGCCGGGGCCACGAGCGTGGGCACGTCGAGGTCCTGGGTGGGCTCCTGGCCAGGGGGCTGTTGTACATGCAGATCTTTGCATTCAGGCGCCCGAGAGGAGCACACTAGTGTGAGAAGGACATGGGTCATCTTGGCCAGAGAGAGGAACAGGGGGGTTGAGCAAGCCACAGGATTGGTGTGTTGGGGTGGGGGTGGGAGGTCAGCATGGCCTTCAGGTCAGGTGGGCTTGTTAGAAGCTATTACTTCAGAGCCACGAGTTGTCAGATTGGTGGCACCTGGCAGCAGGGACAGCGTTCCCTGGGCAGGCAAAGGTGAGGGTCTGGAGAGGTGATGGAGTCTGCTGTGTTAACCGGAAAACGTAAAATCTTGATCCTCCATTGGCAACAGTGGAACTTCGACTACAGAGCAAGTGAGTGGAGGAAGATGTGTGCCTTCCCTGATGAGGAGGCTTACCAGGGGAAGGGAAGGGAAGGGAAGGCACCCAGCAGGTGAAGGAACTAAATGCCCTTTCTCACTTAGGCCTCTATGTGGTTCCACTTGGAGTATCTCTTTCCTCGAGTCCACACAGCTCTCCCATCCTCTCTAGCTGGCTCCGGTGTGTCCCCTTCTAAAGGCCTTGCCCTTACATCCACTGCTGGTCAGTGCTTCATCTGTGCCCAGCACAGGAATAGCCCCAAGGCTGTGCTGGTGAAGGTTTTTTGAGTTTAGGTGGAACCGGAGGCTTTGGTGCTATAGGAGAGGAGGTGGCCTCCGCTGTGCTCTTCACAGAGGCCCAACCCCGTTCCTTGGTTGACACCAGGGCATGGTTTGCTGGGGGAAGGGAGAGGCCTGCCTCCTTGCTAAACTCAGCTCTGTCCCCTCTTCCAGAGGAGGAGCCGCCATCTAGCGCCCTGGCCAGCGTGGTCCAGCACCTCCCATTGGAGCTCATGGACGGTGTTGTCCGGAACCTCAGCAATGATGACAGTGTGACGGACTCGCAGATGCTGACTGCCATCAGCAGGTGGGATGCTGAGGCTGGGCCAGGGTCAGGGCTGGGGCTCCTCCCTCTCTTCCTCCCAGAAGCCCTTTCTCCTGGGTGGGACGCTGGGCTAGATTTGGTGTCAGAGGGCCCAGGCCCTCACGTGTGTTCCGTCGTCCATCCTTTCTTGAGCCCTACTCTGTGCCTGGCCTGGGGCTGGATGTGGGGGCACAGAGAGCCTGCCCTAGTGATGCTGTCTGGCCAGGTACCAGCTGTGTGACCCCGGACATGCCAGTGAGCTCTCAGCCTCAGTTTACCCTTCTGTAAAAGCAGAAGTGGGTGGTGGCATAAGAAGCTGTCGGGCTTTGGTGGGGTTGGGTAAGCAGGCGAGAGTGCTCTACCAGGTGCTTTCTGAGTGGGGCAAGCATGAGAAGCAGAGTGTGGGTGCTTTTCAGCTCAGAGTCCTTGCACATCCCCCACCTCATCTGAACGTCCTCCTCCCTGTGATCTAGATGCACCTGCCTGTCCAGTTATCCCAGAATATGCCGCCTCCCCTCCTCCCTGCAGGCCTTTGCCTATGCAGACCCCGTCCACCTGGCATGCCTCCCTCTGCCATTCTTTCCATCCCGTGTGCAGATCCACCGTCTCCATAGGGCCTTCCTGGATTCCTTGCCTTTAGTGGGTAAGAGTGTGGGCTCTCGAGGTAAGTTGCTGGAGGTCAAATCCCACCTCTACCACTTCTTGCCTGTGTGACTTTGGACAAGTTACTTAACCTCTCTTGAGTTTCCTCAACTGTAAAATGGAGTATAACCAAACCATTTTAACTGAACCAAAGGGTTATTGTGAGGATTAAATGGGGTAAAACAAGACAATACACATAACGTGCCTCGAACTGTGCTATGGGAGCTGCCGTTACCATTGTTATGACTTTGGTTTCATGGTTCTCTTTCTAGCACAGTCCACTGAGTCTAGGCTGTTTTCCTGGGCACTGACTGCTCGGCAGCTTTGTGCTCGGCCCACATAGACAGGCTGTATTGTGGGGTCCAGTGGGGTGGATACAGGTAAAGCTGATGGAGTATCCTGGTCAAGGGTGAACACAACCTATGTGTTAGCTGCTGCTATCTCCTTTAATCCATACCAGAACCCTCTGAGGGAGATATTATCCCCACTTTACAGAGGAAGAAACTGAGGCCCAGAGCGGGGAAGTGGCTTGATCTGGGTCACACAGCAAGGGCTTGCTGGAGCCAGAGCTTCTGGCCCAGGCACAGTACCCTTCCAGGCAGAAGCAGCTGAAGGCCTTGTTCTGGCACTGCAACCCAGCGTGGAGGGGCGAGGCCTGGGGCGCTGAGAGGGCCTGGCCCCCTTCCTGGTGGGCTGGGAACCTCAGTGTCTGGCAGGTGGCTATTCTGGGCTCACGTGCATTTCCCAGCAGTGTCTGGTTCAGCCCACAGACCCTGGGGCTGCCCTTGGCAGGCATGAGTCAATGTGGGAACCCAGGACATTATGGCTGGCCCCTGCGCTGCCCTCACCCCAGCATTTTGGGTGTCTCTTGTCCCTGTGTCACTGTCACTCCCCTCACCAGGATGATTGACTGGGTGTCCTGGCCCCTGGGGAAGAACATTGACAAGTGGATCATTGCACTGCTGAAGGGCCTGGCTGCTGTTAAGAAGTTCAGCATCTTGATCGAGGTTTCGCTCACCAAAATTGAAAAGGTTGGTGTCGCTGTCCTAGCCGAGACTTACGGCCTTTTGCACTAGGCTGTTGCCAGGGGCGGTGCAGCTCTGAGAGGCAGAGCATCGGGCCTCCCCACCAAGCTCGCTGTGTGACCTGGGTGGATTCACTGCCCCTCTCTGGGCCTCAGATGCTCCCCATTAGTTTCCCTGACCGCTCATCCAAGTATGTGTGTCTGACTTTTGGTCCGGTCATCCATTATGCTGTCCATCTCGCCATCTGTCTGTCCACCTGGGTCTGTGAGCACCTCAGTGTTTTTTCTTCTGTGTGGGTATGAACTCGAGGGTGTTTCTGAGCCCCCTCTCAGGCCCGTGACTGTACTTGGTCTCGGCAGCTCGGGCCCGGGAACTCCTGACCAGGGGCTCTCTTCTAGGTTTTCTCTAAGCTGCTGTACCCCATCGTCCGTGGAGCTGCCTTGTCTGTGCTCAAGTACATGCTCCTGACCTTCCAGCACTCCCACGAGGCCTTCCACCTGGTAAAGGCTCCTGCCTGCTGCCCCTGGGCTCTTGAGGGAGGTCACATGGCTGAGGCCACACAACAGCTGGGAGGTGGGCTCCAGCCTCGCCTTGGCTGTGAGGAGAGAAGTAGTCATCCTATTTTGGAGATGAAGACACTCAGGCAGCATGTCTTAGGTCTGGGAAATTCCAAGAGTCACCTGCCTGCAGAATTCAGAGTCCCATCTGGGTCAGGGGATGGTGGTCAGGTAGGCAGGCCTCCCTGCCTCAGGGTGCTGTGTGCTATCAGCAGGGACCACAGCCCCGTGTCTCAGGTGGGCAGGTTGGTGCTGAGCCTGACCCAGCTCTGCTCCCACAGCTCCTCCCTCACATCCCCCGCATGGTGGCCTCTCTGGTCAAGGAGGACTCGAACTCGGGGACCAGCTGCCTAGAGCAGCTGGCAGAGCTGGTCCACTGCATGGTGTTCCGGTTCCCAGGCTTCCCGGATCTGTATGAGCCTGTCATGGAGGCCATCAAGGTAAGTGACAGTTCCCTACTTGGAACTCATCCCACTCTGACAAAGATGCCAGTGTGGGCCTTCCTGTGGGCCATACCATGGCTTGGCGGCAGCCTCCATCATTGGGTGGTGCCTGGCTGCCTCCCATCACCTCCCCAGGTCCATCAGGTGCCTCAGGCACACTGAGCCACCCACCTTCCCCAAGTGGGCCGTCCTGCCTCATGGCTGTTCTGGGTGTTTGCACACGCTGTGCTCTCTAACCATAAACCGTTCTCTTTCTGTCAGTGTAGTGTGGAAAGTAAAAAACAAAACCTTTCAATTGCTGTGCCTGGACAGCTCCTACTTACCTTGTAAGTCTCTGTTCCAGGGTTACTTCCTTCAGGAAGTCTTCCCTGATCACTCTCAGTACTCCCCTGCTCTCCATCAGGCGGGGCCAGGGCCTCTCTGGGCTCCCACATTCCTGATATATCCCTCTGTCACATGTTGTCACTGTCTGCCTCCCTCACCAGACTGTGAGCACTCCAGAGCAGGGATAATGTACAGTTGTTCACATGACTTTACTGATGTCCCTGCTCTGCACCAAGCCCAGGCTGGGAATTGGGGCACAGGCGTGAAGCAAACGGAGTCTCCTCCATGGAGGTGATCGCAGCCTAGTGAGGACAATAGACGTGTATACAAGGAACTCTGATCGGAGCAGCTTTTGAAAGTGTCTCCAAAGTGTGGCCTGAAAGCAGTGTGAAACCAGAGGAAGGAAAGATCTCCAGTTAGAGAAGACAGATGAGGGCTCTAAGAAGCAAGGGTTCCTTTCTTTCTTTTTTGAGACTGAGTCTTGCTCTTGTCACCCAGGCTGAAGTGCAGTGGCATGATCTCCGATCACTGCAACCTCCGCTTCCCAGGTTCAAGCAGTTCTCCTGCCTCAGCCTCCTGAGTAACTGGGATTACAGGAAGAAACTGAGGCCCAGAGTAGGGAAGTGGCTTGGTCTGGGTCACACAGCAAGGGCTTACTGGATCCAGAGCTTCTGGCCCAGGCACAGTACCCTTCCAGGCAGAAGCAGCTGAAAGCTGCTCCCAGCTAATTTTGTATTTTTAATACAGATAGTGTTTCTCCACGTTGGTCAGGCTGGTCTTAAAAAACTCCTGACCTCAGATGATCTGCCAGGTTTGGCTTCCCAAAGTGCTGGGATTACAGGTGTGAGCCACCACACCTGGCCAAAAAAGGGTTTCTTAGAGGCCATCAAGCTGAGCTTGACAGGTTGCTAGGATCTAACAGTGACTGACATCTGTGGCTACTGCTACACTTGACAGCATTTTCCTGTATGTTTTGTCTTCTGATTCTCGCAAGTTACCTACAAAGAAGATATAGTTCATTTCAGTTTCATAAATGAGGAAAGGGAGACTTGTAGAAGTTTGGTGACTTGTGCAAAGTCACGGAGGTAGTGAGATAACGTAGCTGGACCCTGGATTGCAGAGCCCTTCCCCATTGCCTGATAGGGCAGGTCGGGCGCGGTGAAAGGGGTCTAGGTGGCCCTTGCAGAACCTTTGATCTGACTCACTTCTGCAGCACAGCCGATGAGATAACTTGAAAAGTGTCCTGCTAACAAAACAGCTGGAAGTGCTCATTAAAATATAACAAACATCACTTGAAGTACATAGCTGAGCTTGTAAGAACGTAAGGAAGAGTTCCCAGGGGCCAAAAAAGAAGAGAGAACTGAATTCCAGAGTGGTAGGTGAGAAACGATGCTCTTTTCCCTGGGTGGGACAAGATGGCCAATCTCAGTCACAGAGGAGCTTGAGTTGGTAGGAACAGGAGGTGAGATTTAGGGCCTGTCTCCAGTAGGAAGTTAGCACTAAGCAGCCCATTAAAAGCCAGGACCCAAGAAAGGTTTTACCATCAGCAGAAGAGTCTAGAAAAAACGTGCACATGGTCTTAAGCAGACATCAGGGAAACTTTTCTGGCTTGATCTGGGCTCTCATTTGGATTTAGGGGTTCAGATTAATACCATTTTGGGGGTTGTGGCCCTTTCCCCCAAGCTCAGATAGTAACATTAAAAGTAGTCATCAACGGCCGGGCGTGGTGGCTCGAGCCTGTAATCCCAGCACTTAGGGAGGCCAAGGCGGGCAGATCACGAGGTCAACAGATCGAGACCATCCTGGCTAACATGGTGAAACCCCGTCTCTACTAAAAATACAAAAATTAAAGCCGGGTGCGGTGGCTCGAGCCTGTAATCCCAGCACTTTGGGAGGCTGAGGCGGGTGGATCACGAGGTCAAGAGATCGAGACCATCCTGGTCAACATGGTGAAACCCCGTCTCTACTAAAAATAAAAAAAAATTAGCTGGGCATGGTGGCACGTGCCTGTAATCCCAGCTACTCAGGAGGCTGAGGCAGGAGAATTGCCTGAACCCAGGAGGCGGAGGTTGCGGTGAGCCGAGATCGCGCCATTGCACTCCAGCCTGGGTAACAAGAGCGAAACTCCGTCTCAAAAAAAGAAAAATACAAAAAAAATACAAAAATTAGCTGGGCGTGGTGGCGTGCGCCTGTAGTCCCAGCTACTTGGGAGGCTGAGGCGGAAGAATTGCTTGAACCCAGGAGGCAGAGGTTGCAGTGAGCCGAGATTGTGCCACTGCATTCCAGCCTGGCTCCTGGCGACAAAGTGAGACTCTGTCTCAAAAAAAAAAAAAAAAAAAAAAAGTCATAAACTTGTAATACCCAAGGGTAGCCTGGTAGAAACAGGAATAAATCAAGCCATAAAGGTAAAGTTCTACTGAAAATGAGTTTATAGTACAAAAATTATAAGACACACAAAGGAACAATTCTGCATGAATGACAGTAGATAGAACAAACAAAACCTGTGGTATTTACTTGGATCTTCTTAGTTTTTCAAACTTCAGAAAGACCTTTTTGGTAATCAAAGCTGACTTACAATGGAAGGGGCTGCCATGATAGGTCAGCAGCCCCTAATAGTGGAGGTGGATGAGGCGGACTTCCCTGTGTTAGGGTTGTTGCCCAAGGGTTGCCACATTGGAAGGGAGGTAGGTCGAAAGCTTGGCAATTCTATGGCTGGTTCTGTTTCCTTCTAGATTGTGAGCTGCTTTGGGCAGCTCTTTGTGCCCAGGAGATGGCTGTGAGTGAATGAGTGGGATATTGAGTAGGACTGTAGTGTGGAGAGTGCTGTAATGAATGTGCAGGCAGAGAGGAGAGACCCTGCCCCTGGCACTGAGGAAAACCCATGATGAGAGAGGTGTGGGCTTTGCACAGTAGGGGCTTATGGATTGTCTGATCCGGAGTCTGCACACACCTGTAGCAGTAGGGGCAGGGAGTTAGGTTTTGTAAGATGATACAGATGCAGTCCTTCTCCAGGACCCCAATCTTGAGAAAATCCTGGGAAGCTTCATAGAGAGGGGATATAGGAGCTTGGTCTTGCTGGATGGGGACTGGAAAAGGACACTCTGGATGCCTCAGAGGGAGAGAGGAAGTGGGAATGTGCAAGGTTAGTTTGGTGGTAATGTGGCAGGAGAAGGGAAGTCAGAAAGATTAGCGGAGCAGTGCCTTGAAAACTAGGCTGAGCCACTTGGCTTAATGTAGTAGATCTGGGCTTCTTGAATGTTTCTACCCAAGTACTTGATATCAGAGAGGGGAGCTCACCCAAAGCTGCTGGACCTGAGCTCTGAGTTTCTCTATAACCTCATTTTATCTCAAAGACTCAAGTATATATGTCATAATTATAAATGTTTTAATATTACATGTTTCTTTGAATGATAGAAAACATGGCTTCACATTTGTTCTGTGACTTTGAACACTCTGGTATAAGCCAGTTTGAGAGGCAAGGCAGCAAACTAAAGGATTTTATTTTGCGTAACTTGGTTTCACATGGGTTCTATGAGTACATCCCTTTGGACATACGCCTTTGTAAATAAGTTCTGGAAAGTTCTCTGACTTAGATGTATCAGGTTGTGGCGGTTTCTCTGGGAGCTGTGGTACTTGCCAAGGGAGCTGTCACATGTCAATTTCTAATAACATTATTAGGTACTTAAGTTATTTGGAAGGCTTTATTTTCCTGAGTACAAAGTTACCTTCTTTGGGAAAAATGGCATTTGATTTTGTTCCTAGTGTGGATATTTTTCCATCTTCTCTGTGTGCATGGATGTGTGCGGTTCTTTCTGCCTTTCTGTCTCTGTTCATGTTGTGTGTGGCTGGGGGCAGGCAAGGAGGACATTAGATAGGGCATAATGGGAAGAAAAAAGAAGGGATGAAGAAGACACTGAGTCTGTATCTTTTCTGTCTCGCCTCTGGCATCTCCTTGGTATATATGTGTTTTTGTTTTTTGTTTTTTTGTTTTTGTTTTTTTTTTTTAGATGGAGTCATGCTCTGTTGCCAGGCTGGAGTGCAGTGACACCATCTCGGCTCACTGCAACCTCCGCCTCCCAGGTTTAAATGATTCCCCTGCCTGGGCCTCCTGAATAGTTGGTACTATAGGTGTGCACCACCACGCCCAGCTAATTTTTTGTATTTTTAGTAGAGACAGGGTTTGACCATGTTGGCTCGGATGGTCTCGATCTCCTGACCTTGTGATCCACCCTCCTTGGCCTCCCAAAGTGCTGGGATTACAGGCATGAGCCACTGCACCCGGCCTTCTTTTTAAATTATCTGTGAGAAGTGACTGACTGCTCTGATAAGTTATCGGATAAATGATTCTGGGCGGTGAATGAGCAAAAGTGTTAACCCCGGCTGGGTGAGCAAGACCCTCTGTGGGAGCCACAGGATATGCACTGGGGAGAAGAGGGTTTGGATGCTGAGCTGTTTTAAAGCTCTGTGGAGTCTTGGACAAATCTAAGTCATTGTGCCCACGACCTGGAAGTAACAGGGCTAGAGGAACTGTTATGACTGTTGCTAAAATCTGCTAAGGAACAGGACCTGAGGCTTAGATGTTTCTCTTGGAAAGATAGCATCATTGGAACTAGTGCTCATGTTTGTTCTCACTTCGTTCTGCTTTTAGTAAAGAAACAAGTAAGGAACTAGTGCTCAGTGGTATTCTTGGGTACAGCTGTTTGATGTGACAAAGGTAATGAGTGGGAAGCATGATAAGGACCAAGACCAATACCTCAGACCCCAGGGATTTGCCCACTGTCCTGACTGTAGGGTCAAGTTTTAGGGAGGTGACTCTCTTCTCTTGAAAGCTGTTTCTGCAAATCTAAATAGGTGATTAGTGGAAATGGGCACATCATTGTGTGCCAGCACCATGAAAATGTAGGATGCCAGACTGACAAAAGGTAGGCGTGTCCTCAGTTGACAGATGGGGAAACTGAGTCAGAGAGCCTGAGCTCTTCTAAGAAAGTGCATATTCTTCAGTTACTGACAGTGACCCTGGACAATTATTTTCTCTGTCTGAATCTTCATGTTTTTCATCTATAAAATGGGAATTACACCACCTCAAAGCAGTTGTGACCTGAAAGACCGTGGAGACAGCCCATATGTTAAATGAAGGGGTTTGGAAACAGGGGATTGTTCACAAATACTGCAGAAGATCTGTGGGGTGGTATGCCTGCGAGGCCCTGGGGTTGGGTGTATCTGAGAAGGCCTCCCAGAAGAGGTTTTTTTTTTTTTTTTGAGACTGAGTTTCGCTCTTGTTACCCAGGCTGGAGTGCAATGGCGCGATCTCGGCTCACCGCAACCTCCGCCTCCTGGGTTCAGGCAATTCTCCTGCCTCAGCCTCCTGAGTAGCTGGGATTATAGGCACGCGCCACCACGCCCAGCTAATGTTTTGTATTTTTAGTAGAGACGGGGTTTCACCATGTTGACCAGGCTGGTCTCGATCTCTCGACCTCGTGATCCGCCCGCCTCGGCCTCCCAAAGTGCTGGGATTACAGGCGTGAGCCACCGCACCTGGCCTTTTTTTTTTTTTTTTTTTTTGAGGAGGAGTCTCACTCTGTTGCCCAGGCTGGAGTACAGTAGTGTAATTTTGGCTCACTGCAACCTCTGCCTTCTGGTTTGAGCAATTCTCTTGCCTCAGCCTCTCGGGTAGCTGGGACTACAGACATGCGTCACCATGCCTGGCTTATTTTGTATTTTTAGTCGAGACAGGGTTTCGCCATGTTGGCCAGGCTGATCTCGAACTCCTGACTTCCTTTGATCCACCTGCCTCGGCCTCCCAAAGTGCTGGGATTACAGGCGTGAGCCCCTGTGCCTGGCCTAAATAGGTGATTTTTTTTTTTTTTGAGATGACCTTGGTGCCCACCATCCTGCGTGCCTGCTTATTCCCTCCTCAGGAACTCCATGTTCCCAATGAAGACCGCATCAAACAGCTGCTGGGGCAGGACGCCTGGACCTCACAGAAGAGCGAGCTGGCAGGTTTCTACCCCCGGCTCATGGCCAAGTCCGACACGGGCAAGATTGGTCTTATCAACCTGGGCAACACGTGCTACGTCAACAGCATCCTTCAGGCCTTGTTCATGGCTTCTGAGTAGGTGCTGTTTTGGAATCCCCTGTCTGCCCTTGCTTCTCTCCTCTGGGCTCCCTGATGACAGGTGGAAAGGTGTCGGGGGAAGGGGTCGGAGAGGGTGGGCCTTGCTTTGCATTGCTGGCATGATTCCCTGTGGTCTCTGGGGACAGAGCCTCAGGCCATTGCCAAGGCAGTAGGTTAAGACTGGAAGGGGCTTGAGGGGCTGGGCAGCAGTGGAAAGGGGGGTCTTCTCTGGGTTGGTTGACATCACTGACTTTTCTCCTAGAGTCCAAGGGGGTGGATTTTGTCTTCCAGAGTAGAACTCCCAGCCCACCCTGGTATTAGACATCTCTCTCTGTTAAAATGAAACAAGCACAATCTTTATAGTCTATGGCCACCTATCTACCTTATAGCTTACTTAAGCGATCAAAGTTTCAGCTTCGATTCAGTGAAAATAAGCTTTGATTCTGGCGTATCATATGACCTCAAATCAGTTTCTTTTCTCTGAGCTTCAGGTTCAGTGGGAGGAGGTTGGGGCTGATCTCCGAGACTTCAAAGGTGCTGCTGCACTTTCTTCTCAAAACGCTGGTGAAGGACTAGTTTTGTTTTTCTTTTCTAATTTCCAGTCTGCTGCAGAATATTACTTTTGTAAAATATAACAAAACAACTTACTAGAAAAACGATCGTATGCTAGCATGGTCGTTGTGATGTTAAAACGCTATACACATTTCTAAGCGCTTACTTGTTTTCTGAACTTACCTTGGTCTGAGATAAGTGGCCCACACTTTTCCTAGGGCTCTTCCGTGCAATGGGCTATATTTGGAGAATGCCTGGCTGATCTGTCCAGGGCTGCTTGTGAGAACAGGAGATAAGCTGGGGACTGCGAATTGGCTTGTTCAGAGACTGTGTGCGTAGGGAGGGGAGGCTTCCTGTCTCCTCTGGGATAAGAACTTCCCGCTAGGAGCTCCACCCATCCCCACAGGGTCCTCTTCTTTCAGCGTATTCCTCACATTGACCCCTGCCTGCCTCCCTCCTGGGAAGGCAGGGGAACAGCTTGAGGTGGTGGCTTAAGGGCAGAAGAGTCATTTGGAGGGCCCAGGTCAGAGCAGAGCCTGCTGCTCTGGAGGTGGATGAATGCCCTTCCCCAGGGAAGCAGTGAAGAAGGGTGTGTGAGTAGCAGCTGTGGCCAGGATGATACTGGCATAGATCCTGTGGCATGTGAGAAAGTCCTAACCCTAGAACCCTGGGACCACAGGACCTTAAGACATTTGAGTCTTTGAGTCCTGGAGTTATGAGGTCTCAGAGCTGAAAGGGGCTGCAAGGGTCATCTTCATACCCTTCATTGTCCAAAAACATGTCTGCTGCTGTGTTCCTGACCTCAAGTACCCCAGCCTGAGTTGTTCACCTGCTCCTCCTCCCCAGCCCCTGGCCCCTGGCCTTATCCTGGGGTAGAAATGTCAGTTCTGCCTCTGGCCTGGAGACTCTGGGCAGCCTGTGACGTGGGTGACTAGAGTCTCCTTAGGGGGCCCACGGCTTACCCTGGGTGTCCCTGCTTTGTTTTGAAGCTTCAGACACTGTGTGCTTCGTTTGACTGAGAACAACTCACAGCCCCTGATGACCAAGCTGCAATGGCTTTTTGGCTTTCTAGAGCACAGCCAGGTGAGTGCAGGGATAGTCAGGGGTGGGGTGGGAGAGGCAGCTCTGTCAGGCCCTGACATGGACACCTTTCCCTTCCTGAGGACCTGCCTGCATCTGGCTGTCATATTGCATGTCGGGTGCTGAGCCCCCATTCAGGCTGGCACATGGAGCCAATTTAGTGCCTTGCTGGGCAGGAGAAGGAGTGCCCCCTTGAGCCCTGTTCTGTGTTATGCTGCCCAATCTCCCCACTTGGCAATTCAGTCCATTGCATTACGGTGTTTCCGTAATCCATTTTGTGCTGCTGTAACCAAATACTTGAGACTTGGTGATTTATGAGGAAATGTATTTATTTCAGTTTTGGAGATTGGAAGGGCCAAGAGGGAGGGGCTGTGTCTGTGGCGTCCTTCTGGCTGCATCATAATGTGGTGGAAGGCATGACAGGGCCTGAGAGCGCACATGAGAGGGAAGGGGGTCTGAATCAAGAACCTGCTCCCATCTCAGCGTGTGGCTGCTGGGGACGGTAGATGGCCTGTGATACAGAGTTAATACATTCATGAGGGCAGAGTGCTCAGGATCTCATCCCCTCTTCCACTGCTGCACTGGGGATTATGTTTCCAGCACGTGCTTTTTGGAGGACACAGTCACACCACAGCATGCTGCTTCATTCTGCTGTCATTTTTGAGTGCCCACACGGCCAGGCAGCCCGAGAGCTGCTGAAGGTACAGAGGTGAACAGAACAAACGCCAGCTCTGCCCTCAGGGAGCCTAAAGCCCTTGGCCAGGGATTAAGCAAGGCTCTGTGTGGGGGCACAGAGATTAGTAATCCCTTCCTGGCTCATGGAGGGGAGGGAGAAGTCAGTGGTGATGGAGGAGGGAAGGCTGGGAAGACAACATGGTGCTGTGTCTGCGACTCATCTTGACCGAGGGGAGAGTCTGAGGTGTGCCGGGAAGACCAGATTCCTAGAGGCTTGTTCATCTCTGTGAGCCCGATGCCCTGCTCAGAGGTGTGGGCATATGGGCTGGGATGGGTCGGGGACCACAGGAGGGAGGGAGGACCTCATGGAGGCGGCTAGGAAGTTTGAGGCTGAGGGTAACAGGTAGCCCCTCAGGCCTCACCCATGCAGAGCTGGCTGGTGAGTAGCCGCCTGCTCCTGACGCTGCCTTTTGCTCCTTTGTCCTAGCGGCCTGCCATTTCCCCAGAGAACTTCCTGTCTGCATCCTGGACGCCCTGGTTTAGCCCCGGCACCCAGCAGGACTGCTCGGAGTATCTGAAGTACCTGCTGGATCGGTAAGGGGGGCCAGGGCTCCACAAGGGCTCCAGGTCTAGAGGGTCCCTGGGGCCAAGCCCCAGTACCTCTGAGCTGTGTTGCATCTTCCTGGGAATAAGAGTGCTGCCTCCAGTGTGTGGAGGGCTTGGAGAAGAGGTGTGCTGGAAGGGCGGGGACTGAGGGTGAGGGAGGCTTGGTAGATGCTGAATGGAAGTGATCTCTGGAAGGCCGTCATATGCACACTGGGCGGTGCAGCTTGGTCACTGCCATGCGGACATGTGACACTAGCTCAAGCACATCTTTATGTAGGGTGTGGGTGAGCGCAGCGAGGGTGCTGCTGTGAGCACGTGGGTGGATATGTGAGTGTGTCAATGTGCAGCTGTTGGGGAAGGTAGACAGGCCTGGATAAGCTGAGTGCCCTGTAAGGGGGACCCACATGTACATATGGAGACTGTGTTCCCTGCCCTAGGTTGCACGAAGAAGAGAAAACGGGCACAAGGATCTGCCAGAAACTCAAGCAGTCCAGCTCGCCCTCCCCGCCTGAGGAGCCCCCAGCCCCAAGTTCAACCTCTGTGGAGAAAATGTTTGGAGGCAAGATAGTGACTCGGATCTGCTGTCTCTGTTGCCTCAACGTCTCCTCCCGGGAGGAGGCCTTCACAGACCTCTCTCTTGCCTTTCCTCCTCCTGAGCGCTGCCGCCGCCGCCGCCTGGGCTCTGTGATGCGCCCTGCAGAGGACCTCAGAGCCCGAGAGTTGCCCTCAGCAGCTAGTGCACAGGGGCCAGGCAGGGTGGGTCCTCAGAGGCAACGGAAACACTGCATCACAGGGGACGCCCCCCCCGCCAACCTGGACATTGAAGGCCTGGACTCCCAGGAAGCTGCGGGGCAGAGCAGTCAGGAGGAAAAGGTAGAAGAGGAAGGGAAGGAGGAGGAGACGGAGAAGGAAGAAGCGAGGGAAGAGGAGGAAAGCACCAGAGGGGAAGAAGCGAGGGAGAAAGAAAAGGAGGTAGGGGAAGAAGAGAAGGTTGAGAAGGAGACAGAAAAGGAGGGAAAGCAGGAAAAGGAAGAAGACAGCCTGGGAGCGGGGACCCACATGGATACTGCCGTCACCTCCGGCGAGCAGCCTGGTGGCTCCGAGGGCTCCCGCTCTGTCCTGGACCTGGTCAACTACTTCCTGTCGCCCGAGAAGCTGACAGCTGAGAATCGCTACTACTGTGAGTCGTGTGGCTCCCTGCAGGATGCTGAGAAGGTAGTGGAGCTGAGCCAGGGGCCACGCTACCTCATCCTCACGCTGCTGCGCTTCTCCTTCGACCTGCGCACCATGCGGCGCCGCAAGATCCTGGATGACGTCTCCATCCCCCTGCTGCTCCGCTTGCCGCTGGCTGGCGGCCGGGGCCAGGCCTATGATCTCTGCAGCGTCGTAGTACACTCTGGAGTGTCTTCAGAGAGTGGTCACTACTACTGCTATGCCCGTGAGGGCGCTGCCCGCCCTGCTCCTTCTCTGGGAACTGGTGATAGGCCAGAGCCCGAGAACCAGTGGTACCTGTTCAACGACACTCGGGTGTCCTTCTCGTCCTTTGAATCTGTCAGCAATGTCACCTCCTTCTTCCCCAAGGACACAGCCTACGTGCTGTTTTACCGGCAGCGGCCCAGGGAGGGGCCTGAGGCTGAGTCGGGCTCTCCCAGAGTCCGGACAGAGCCCACCCTGCACAAGGACTTGATGGAAGCCATTTCCAAAGACAACATCCTTTACCTACAGGTGAGCTGAGCTGTGGGGACTTTGATCTGATCTCCTGGTGGAAGGGAGTCCAGTCCCAGTGCAACTGCTGGCTTAGATATTTTCCCCTCTCTAAGTCTTCTTACAAAATCCTTTTCATTCATTGCTCAGTGCTGGGCATATACTGGTGGCCCAGACAGACCTAACCCCTTACTTCAAAGTAACAGACACTGAATAATGAATGATGCAGTTTTTTCCTTTAAGTTCCAGGGTACATGTGCAGAATGTGTTATGTTACATAGGTAAATGTGTCACGGGGGTTTGCTGCACGGTCGTCCCATCACTTAAGTATTAAGCCCTGTATCTGTTAGCTGTTCTTCCTGATACTCTCCCTCCCTCTCCGTCGCGAGGTCAGGAGAGTAAGACCATTCTGGCTAACATGGTGAAAACTCGTCTCTACTAAAAATACAAAAGGTTAGCAGGGCATGGTGGCACATCCAACACACAGTGTGTGTGGTTTCCCTCTCCCCATGTGTTCTCAGCGTTCAGCTCCCACTTACGAGCAAGAACATGCAGTAGCCGGTTTTGTGTACTGTGTTAATTTGCTGAGGATAACGGCTTCCAGCTCCATCCATGGCCCTGGAAAGGACATGATCTTGTTCCTTTTTAGGGCTGCATAGTATGTATTACTTGCTGTATATGTGCCACATTTTTTTAATCCAGTCTATCATTGATGGGCATTTGGGCTGATTCCATCAATTCTTTTTATTTATTTATTTATTTTTTGCTATTTTGAATAGTGCTGCAATGAACATACCTGCGGCATGTATCTTTATAACAGAATGACTTACATTCTTTTGGGTATCTACCCAGTAATGGGATTGCTGGGTCAAATGGTATTTCTGCCTTTTGGTCTTTGAGGAATTGCCACACTTTCTTCCATGATGGTTGAATTAAATTACAGTCCCACCAACAGTGTAAAGGGATTCCTATTTCTCTACAACCTCACCAGCATCTGTTGTATCCCAACCTTTCTTTTTTTCGAGACGGAGTTTCGCTCTTGTTACCCAGGCTGGAGTGCAATGGCGTGATCTCAGCTCACCGCAACCGCCGCCTCCTGGGTTCAGGCAATTCTCCTGCCTCAGCCTCCTGAGTAGCTGGGATTACAGGCACGCACCACCATGCCCAGCTAACTTTTTGTATTTTTAGTAGAGACGAGTTTTCACCATGTGAGCCAGAATGGTCTCATTCTTCTGACCTCGCGATCTACCCACCTTGGCCCTCACAAGGTGCTGGGATTACAGGTGTGAGCCACTGTGCCTGGCTGTTTGCTGACTTTTTAATAATCATGATTTTGGCTTGCGCGAGTTGGTATTTCATTGTAGTTTTGATTTGCACTTCTCTAATGGTCAGTGATGATGAGCTTTTTTTTTCATATGTTGGCTACATGAATGTATTCTGATAAGTGTTCATGTCCTTTGCCCACTTCTTAATGAGGTGGTTTTTTTCTTGTATGTATGTTTAAGTTCCTTGTAGACTCTGGATATTGGACTTTTGTCAGATGGATAGATTGTGAAAATTTTCTTATTCTATAGGTTGTCTGTTTACTCTGATAGTGTTTTGCTTTGCAGAAGCTCTTTAGTTTAATTAGATCCTATTTGTCATTTTTTGCTTTTGTTGCAATTGCTTTTGGCATTTTCATTATGAAATCTTTGCCTATGTTGTGAATGGTATTGGCTAGATTTTCTTCTAGGGTTTTTACAGTTTTGAGAGTTTTACATTAAAGTCTTTAATCCATCTTAACTGAATGTATAAGGAAGGGAGCCAGTTCTCTCAGCACCATTTATTAAATAGGGAATCCTTGACCCATTGCTTGTTTTGTCAGATTTGTTGAAGAGGGTTGTAGGTGTGCAGTCTTATTTCTGAGTTCTCTATTCTGTTACATTGGTCTATGTGTCAGTACCATGCTGTTTTGGTTACTGTAGCCTTGAAGTAGAGTTTGAAGTCATGTGGGCATGAGGCCTCTAGTTTTGTTCTTTTCGCTTAGGATTGTCTTGGTTATATGGGCCTTTTGGCTCCATATGAATTTTTAAATCGTTTTTTTCTAATTCTCTGAAGAATTGTGAATAGTTCTTTTTCTTGAGACAGAGGAGTCTCACTGTGTCACCCAGGCTGGAATGCAGTGGCATGATCTTGGCTCCCTGCAACCTCTGCCTCAGCCTCACTACAGGCATGCACTACCATACCTAGCTAATTTTTGTATTTTTAGAGACGGGGTTTTACCATAGCAGTCAGGCTGGTCTCGACCTCCTGATCTGCCTGCTTCAGCCTCCCAAAGTGCTGGGATAACAGGTGTTGAGTGGTAGTTTAATGGGACTAGCATTAAATCTGTTAATTATATTGGGAAGTATGGCCGTTTTCATGATGCTGATTCTTCCTATGAGCATGGAATGTTTTTCCATCATCTGTTTGTGTCCTCTTTTATTTCCTTAAGCAGTGGTTTGTAGTTCTCCTTCGCTGTATTGCTAGGTATTTTATTCTCTCTGTAGTGGTTGTGACTTGGAGTTTATTCATGATTTGGGTCTTTGCTTGTTGTATAGGAATGCTAGCAATTTTTGCCCATTAATTTTGTAGCCCGAGATGATGATTTTGTACCCTGACATGTTCTAGCTGTAGAATCATGTCATCGTTGGAGTTGTTTGTTTAATAAGTGTGCTGAAGCAGCAGCATAGGGACCTATGAGAGTGGATAGTTGAGTCTGAGTGGGAAGAGGATGGTTCTGGGGTGATGTGCTACCCATGTGAACCTCCTAGGTAACTAACTGTGTCTGATGCCACTTTCTAGAGTCAAGGGTGGCACTGGCCTATGGAGCAGCTGGAACAGCTGGAACAGCAAGGGCTTTGACCAGTGGGATGGGTACTAGCTGTAGCCAGTGGCCATACTGGGACCTGTGGTTACCAGTGCCTGGAGTTCATATTTTGGGAGGGGAACACAGCACCTGGGGTGGGGATGCCAGGCCTGTGTTTCACTTACTTCTGCCATGCTACCCAGATGGAGGCAGGGTCGTGATAAGGATCTCCATGAGGCTGACCTCACGGTGACATGAGGATGTGCTTTGTCATAGGCAGAATCCGTTCCTCGTGATCAGGCGGCCTGCTGTCAGGTTCCTGTTGGGTGTGAAGTGACCCTCAGAGTCCCTGGACCTCCTGCTTCCTAGTGCCACATTAGACCCCTGTCAGCTAATCATATCAGTTCCTCGGTGCTGCCTCAGGGACTGTAGTTGAGAGGAAGAGGTGGCGTTTTGAAGCCTAGACCTAGGATGGAAGGCCGGGTCCACCCCATAAATCCTGTCACTGAACTGCAATGCCTCTAGGACAAAAGCCGTGGTTCCTTCCTGTGTCCAGGCCCTGGGGACACAGAGGAGACACTTAGAAGTGCTGTGCTGGGTGGACTGTGGCTGTGAATTCTAAGTTTCCTCTCATCTGTGTTCCCAGGAGCAGGAGAAGGAGGCCCGGAGCAGGGCGGCCTACATCTCTGCACTCCCCACATCTCCACACTGGGGGAGGGGCTTTGATGAAGACAAGGACGAAGATGAAGGCTCTCCGGGGGGTTGCAATCCTGCAGGTGGCAATGGGGGTGACTTCCACAGACTAGTCTTCTAATGCGAACCTGCTGCCAGCCAGACCATTCTCTCCAGGAGGAAGGTGGGGTCTGAGAGGGAGGCAGGCCCAGTCCTGTATGTAGTAGGCCCTACCAAGAGCAAGCATGGTACAGGGATCTCATGGGATGTTAGTCCTTAGCCTGAAGGGTAAACAGAGGGTCTCAGCTATGGAAATGAGACTTAAGGCTCTTAAAGATTTTACACCCAAGTGTCCTGGTTAACTGGAAGCACTTGAGCTGGGCACACATGGGTCTTTGCCTCCCCAGCAGGCCCTCCGTGCTGGACTATCTGACATCAAGCAGCATTATCCTTCCGACTGCTCTATAACATAAAGCACAGCAGGACCCAAGCCTGGCACAAAGAAGGGGGTGTGTCACCTCCCCTGGCTGTTTTCTTGTATGGGGGTGCCTACACTGTCTATCTAAGATCAGGTGGGGAAAAAGCAGGGCCCAGAATTAGAGACTGAGACCTGTCCCCCTTACCAAGCACCCATGCCTAGTGGGGGGACTAGCTACTCCTAGTGGGAGGCCTTTGTCCCCACATTCCCTCCACCTGCCTCAGTGCCTGAGATGCCACCACCTGCATCCCCCTTCTGGTTAAGGTAAAGGTAAGAGTCCTTACTTAACTGCAAAGAGGTCTCTGTTCCTCATGAAGTGTGGGGTCTTCTTCTCCTCATCTGGCCTTTGCAGCTACGAGAACAGCCGCCTGAGGGTTGGGTAAAGTGCCCTGATACTTCTGTAGTCCCTGCTAATGGGAGACAAGATACACATGTTCTTAAATAAAACTACATTCTCTGAAGCTCAGCAAGAGGTGGTTCTTCCCGGGTCTCAGCGGCTGTGAGAATGGCCACTGTACCCTGGGTCTTCTCACCTAGGTCTGGGCAGGCTGACCAGTGGTGAGATGAGGATGCAGGCTGCATTATGCCTGCAGAGAAGGCTCACCTGGGAGGCAGCTCCCAAGCCTTCACCTCTAGCTCCTTCCCCAGGGACTGCCCGCAGTGCTGGAGGAGTGGAGTTTGGGCCCCATGTCACAACTAAGTGACCTGTGAAAGAAGGAAGTTAGTGGACGCGCCCAGAACCCATCTGTGGACTAAAAAGAAAGAAGGAGGCGATTCTGAAGTACAAAGCATTCATTCTTATCCCCAGCCAAGAAAAATACCCAATTATTTCCTTAATAAAGTGAAAATGGAACAGACTCGAGTGAGAACAAGTTCCAGCACCACGCCCCTCCAGACAAGACGGACACAGCAGCTGGTTCTGGGGTGCATTTCTAGTGGACTTTATTGTCCTGCTCCAACACCACAGTCGAAAGGGACCTGCAAGCTCCAGGCCTGTACCATGTGTCACCACAGCAAAAACATGACCCACTTGAACACACTCCTGCCCCACCCACCCACAGGATAAATATGTTACAAACAGAATAAATTAATAACTTAAGTGATTAGGCACCAACAGTGATTTGAAAATTAAATGTCAATTTGAAATGGTGACAAGACAAGAACTCAAGACTGGGCCTCCACTAGCCCATTTCTCTTCCTGACAAATAGTGACGATTCTGCACGAAATAATTCTACATTTCAAGACACAAGTAGCCAACAAATACGCAACACATGCCACCAGAAATCACACAACAGTCTGGATCTCTGGGGGACCCCCTCAGCAGGTAGCTCCTCATGGTCCCAGGCCCTAAAGAGCAGGGTGAGTCCCAGAAAGACAACCCCCAAGGAAGGGCTTTGGAGCTCCTGAGGCCAGCCTGGCTTCCCCTGAATTTTACAGACAAAGGCCAAGATGGGGAAGAAAGAGCTCTGGAAATGGGGTGGGGATGCTGGGCCAAGATGGCCCCACGGCAGAAGGGGCCAGAGGGGAGATGAGCTGAGCCTATGCTCCAGTAACTTCAGAATGGTTGTGCTTTTGTCCTAGGAATGGGGCATATTTTAATGGTTTCCAATGTAGAAGTGACCAAACTCAAGTTAGGAGGGGACGGGGGATAGGTACTGCCCACCCCTGGCCATCCGGATCCTCCAGAAAGACGTTACAGAAGAGGGAGTCTCCCCTTCAAGCAGCTGAGCACCAGCTGTGGATGGGACCTCAGTGCCTCTAATCCAGCCTCCCATTCCAAAGACACACAGATCAAGGACCTCAGGAAACACCATCTCCTTATTTCTCATTGTTCTCACTCGACTTAACCTCGCTGAAGTGGGTAAAGGCAGCTCCTCAAAGAGCCCCAGGCAGGACGAGTCCTCCCATGAAGCAGTGCTGGGAAGGTATCCCCCTACCAGGGTCTCAGTCCTCACCAGGTCCTCAGGAGAGGTGGACTCTGAGCCATGGATAGGCCAAACAAAGGAGTCAACTGAGATGACTCCTTTGTCAGGGGAGGTAGTGGGTGGAATGTGGGGACATGCCAAACATGGCTGGTAGTTTGGGGCTTGTGAGCCAGAGCTTTGCTTTCAAAAGGTCAACTTTGCCTCTCCTCCTTCCATCACTGCCCCTACACTTCCACCCAAGGGATTTCGGTAGTTACCAGAATCAGGAGCTGAAAGGAGGCCTCCTGGGAGATTCGATTTGAACACCTCAGTCGCTCTCTGAAGACTCCAGCCAGGTCCACTCACATCATGGCACACTCAGAACATGCTCACATTTTATGGGAGACTGCTGGGCTGTCAACTGAGGGCATCAATAGTCTGGGCCCACTTGTGGCTGCTGCGGGTACAGGGAAGGCACCAGTTAAAAGCTCTGTCATATGGGGCCCCTTGTAGATGCCTTAAAGGCACACATTCAGGGCCGGGCACAGTGAACCAGCACCCTGCCAACTCTGCCCAGTGCAGCCACTGCCACTGCTGCCATTTCACCTGATGGAACACTGAGGCATGGCCCCGGCACTTCTGAGCGGCTGGACCCATACGCCCAAAGGCCTCGTGTTCCCAAGACACAAGCCTTTCCTAGCCTCTGTCCTCCTTCCTCCACTGGACCCAAGCCCTGCTCTCCTCCTCTGTAAGAATCTGACTCATCCCCTTCTAAGGCCTACTTCAGGCACCCCCTTTTCCTAGAATCCACCTTCCCTCACTGTGACGCCACTCCTGCCTCTGGCCCCAACCTCCCTAAGGCTTGTCTTCCTCTGCACTCCATCAGCATTTTAAATCTCTGTATAATGGCTTTGTCACCACTGTCTCATGTCCTCCTCCTCTTTCTCACTGATTATGACTATCTCAAGTTGAGGGATACGGTCTAATTGATTCTTGTGTCCTTGGTGCCTAAGCCCAGAGACTCGACACAGCAACCATTAATAAATGCTCCTTGAGTTGATCTGAACTAATGCTAAGAGAAGAGGTCCAACTCTTGAGGAAGTAACTTCTTCCAGGATGGAACTTGGACAACGGCCAGGCCATCGGTCTAGAGGACGGATGAGCTGAGCTGAGAAAACACTGGGCCAGCATCAGGCCAGACTCGTTTCTGCCCTGCAACCTGGCATATGCCACAGCCCATGGGCACAAACCGTCAGCCATGCCCCATGTGGTCCTCTAGGCATCATTCTGCCCTGCTTTCTCCTCGTCCTGCCTGACCTGCTATCCCCTCCATCTGGGGAACAGTCCTCACGTCATATCACCATGCACATCACTCTTGCATGAGTCACTCCTTTACTTTCTGCTCCACTCTAAACCCCCACACATTGCCCTGGCCACTCCCCAACTCCCAGGCCCTTTGGATGTATCTCCCCACTTGCTACATGGCCTTCACCCCAGCTTCACATCCCTCTGCTACCTCTGAGCCCAACTTCCACTGTGCTGCTCACCGCATGGAAACTCACTGCCCCACTCCACTGCAGAGTCCCCTGCACTGCCCTGTGCCTCTGCCCAGCCTGTGCCTGTCACAGGGTTCCCCTCAGTCCCTGAATCAACCCCATCCACACCATACTCCCTCCCACATTCCCCACCGTTTCACCATGCATTCCTGCCCCATATGCTTGGTTGCCCAGCTTGGTCCAAGCCTTCCCCCGTGCAGTGCTCTCAAGGTGGGGTTGGTGGGGGCCTCTGAGGGGGTTGGGGAAGAGGGCTTCCCCTGGGCCTAGAGTGGCCTGTATAGCTCCAAAGTTCTGGGGGCCCTGACCCCTCAGTGTCCTTGTCATCTCCACCACCTGAGCTCCAATCCCTGCTGCTTGCTGTTCTGGGTTGGCCATCACCAGTTTTCCCTTCCTTTTGCCCTTCGTCCTCTGCTTCTGTACCCCACAGCAGCTCTCCTGCCATGGCCTCAGCCTGAAAGTGGGATGTCCCTGCAGATGTGAGCTTTCCCTCTGCAGCCCTGAAGACCACTGCTGGCTCTCCTTTTCCACCATCTCATCTTTTAGTGGCTTTGCTTCTCCTGCCAAGAAAAACAGGAATGAAAAAGTCCATTATCCACTTTGGTCTGCTGGTCCTTGACTCCATGGGTTGGTGAGACTTGTCTTCTGGGACTGAGGAGAGGTAGTCCAGGGGCCGGAGGGAAGATAGCTGAAGTTGTGACTGAACATGAGGTGTGGAATCTGGCTCAGAGCCCCAGCCCTTCCCTCCAAACGGCTGGTAATCATATCTAAAGGACAGGAAGAGGCTGAAGGATGCTTTTTGGCAGTAGCTCCTAACTAAGGTGGGTGGAGGCATGGCCATTAATGATAAAAATCACAGGTGGGCCCCGAGTGGGCAGAAGACGTGCCTTGATCAGGCCCTCACCTCCCAGGGGAAGGGTTCAGGGTCCCTGATGTCAAGTGCTTTGAAGGCTGAGACTGGCAGAGTAGAGAGGAGGTGGGTGGAAGGGACAATGGGAGAGGGGACAGGGGGAAAAGAGAAGGGAAGGGCCGGCTCTGCAGTGGCCCTCTGGTCACAGCTTGGCGCCCTTGGAGGGCTCCGAGGACTGCCGCACGTCTGTCCACTCCTGCATGGTGTTTTGAAGGGCTTGGGTCTTCTCCTTGTCCACCTGAACATAGTCCACTTTCTCATCAGAAGTGACAGATGAAGTAGATGGCTGAGGGGACAGAGTGGGAGACAAAGAGTGGCTGTGAGTTACCAGTTAGGTGGGGAGAAAGAAGACAGATTCAAGATCTCCCCGAGCTGTCTGAAGGGGAGAAGAGCATTGCCTCTGCCTGCCAAGGACCACCCTCAGGAGCCTGGCTTCTCTTTTTGATGTGGGCTTTAAAGCTCAGACTCCAGACTCCTTCCTGCAGGATACAGCAGCCCCTGCCAGCCCTTCTTAGTTCCCATCTCCTGGGAGGACCCAGGCCCTTTCTTGGCCCCGGCGGATGGGTCCAGGCCTTCATTTCTGCCTCCACCCAGCTCCGTCTGGTTACTCATCCAGGAAAAGGAATTTGCTGGGTGCAAAAAAGCATCAGCCACAGGACTTTACGTGCTGCCCTCGCCGCCACCCTGTGAGGGGGAACCATGGTGAGACAGAGCTCTGCACCCTGCAGAGTCCCCCTGCACTGCTTAGGCTAAGGATACCTCCTGGGGAGGCTTTCCCAGGCCTGGAAGTCCTTTCTGAAGGTTGATATATCAATGGCAGGGCTCTGGGACCCACCCAAGAGCCCAGGACCAGAAGGCAGTATCCTCATTCCTGGATCTGTTGCTGATTCACTTTGTAACCTTAGGCCAATCAGATCTCTGTGCAGTCATTTGCCCATCTCAACAACAAGGGGGATGGGCTGACGAATGAAGTTCTTTGATTGAGGGTACTGTGCTCTGAGAGCAGGAATGGGAGTCTTTAGACCTAGATGAAAGCTCTATGACTAAAGATGGTCATAAAAGCTGGGTACTGGAGCGGGAGGGCGGCTGAGTG